GCTGGAAACTCACCACTTTGTGATGTGGTGTCAGGCAACATAGGCAGAACATTTTCACCAGTAAAAAGAAATATCTGTTCCTGAGGCTCTCAACTCCACAATTCCCTGATTTGGGCCCTGTTTCAGGTGCTACAAACCACCAGCTGCCTTTCCACCTCCACAGATCTGCTGAGACCTGATTGTTTTGGTCATGGCTGGTAGATTGACTGGCAAGAAATCAGACCAGCTGGATTTTTTTATTTCTTAATGTCAATTCCTTTTTTAGGTCATCAGGCAGGAGTCTCAGTGCTAGCATACATGTGTCTTTCTTTCTCAACTCAGAAAAGACTTGACATGAGCTCAGCAATGAGTTCAATGAGTGAATGAATGAGATCTTCTGGTGTAAACCACACTGGTAACAGTAGGCATGCTGGCGTGGGATTAAAAGTAAGACAGCATCTCTCCAGTTCTCTGGTGGACCCTTCCTAAACTTTGAGCTGTATAAAGATCCCTGCTGATTTTTTTGGGGTAGAATAAAGGTTAACATTACTTATTTGGAAAAGCTCCTAATGTTTCATGAAGAATACTCAAAGTCCTTATTTATGCACAATTTTTTCTGGCCTATCACTTATTTTGGTGTATTTTCCCTCATCCCTTAGGGAAGATTCTTTCTAAGTGGGGAATAATCATCAGCAGCTAAGACTTGTAATCTGCAATTCTCATGAAAAGAAGATCTTTAGGTCAGGAATTATATTTTTGTTCTCTATTTGTCTAATTTTTTGCATCTTGAAGATGAAAGCTCTATGAGTTGTTGCAATGGAAATAATGAATGACTGGGAAAAAAAAAAACAGCAAAAAGGACCTCAATCTTGATCTAATATCAGATTAACCATGTAAAAATCACCCAGAGTGTATACACATAAAGACATAAATATGGTAAACAAAAAAGTGTGAAAACTCACCGGGTTGAGACATATGAGATAAACTCTGTTGTCCAAAATGAGAAGTGAGCTCATTCCCTTTCTCTTGCATTCACTGCTGACTCCATCAGATGTTTGCACCTGGAGTTTTTGGTCTCGTGATGATGACGGCTGAATCGAACAGCCTGTTTATTCTCAAGTCAGCACATAACACGTTTGGGTTTTTTTGACTGGGGATTAGTAGGGGTTTACACTTAATTGCTTTGTTTGCTAAGTATATTTTGATGGCTGTGCTATGAAAAAAAGGAAAACTAAATTACATGTCATTGATTACTGAACAACTCCAACTTCCAGACAAAATATTTCTACTTAATTGAAATTTGAAGTAATATGGAATAATCTGGGTGATGGGGGGAGGGTGTAGTTTGTAAAGATTTAGAACTAGGAGATTTTAGAAGTACAACTGCCAGATTCACTCTCATAATAAAAGGGAGAGCATAAGCATTTTAAAAGTTAGCATTTTCCCATGGCTAGTCTCATGGCCAAGCTTGATTTCTTACAGCAGCAACTGTTTTTCCTGCCATATATCCTAAATAATAAAAGACTGCGTGAAGTCAGCAGTATGCTTTGAGACATACCTTAGCTGAGCAGTGCAGAGAGTGAGACAGTCATCATTGTAGGGTAAGAGAATCAGAATCACCTTTTGACTTAAGAAAAAGCTGTGGAGAAGGGCTGAAAAGGGCAGAAGCCAGCAGTGGGAGTTTGAAGAGCACTGTGGTTAGTTACTTCACAGATGAGTTTGTCCTGTGGGTTGTTTTTTATTGTGTGATGGGTTTTTCCACCATTGCATATTTTTATACTTGTACTTTCTGAATAGGTGATGATGGAAAAATAGATTAGTGGTTGAAGGGGATTTTTTTCTTCTTCTGGTCTCATTGTTACAGATCTGCACCAAAAATAAAGACTAAATGCAGTGCAGGTGAAAAGTAGTGGTCTTTGAGCTCTGCCAGTGAACCGGAAAGCTGCACAGCCTGAGTGAGAGGCAAAGTACTTTCATTCTTATTGCATGGTGTGCTGTTTTTGTTGAGCTCAGTAGCTTAATTCTTTATAAATATTTTCTTTGTACTTTCAGAGAGATTTTTTCCTTCTTTTTGATAGGCCAGGCTTTTATCAAGCTGGTTTGATGTTAAGATTTGAAAGACTTTGAGGACTTGTTGCTTCACTGTTTTATTATTTCACTGTCAGTTCATCAATCCATTTTTAACATTCGATGAGAAAATATTTTCAAATTACCAATTGATAAAGATTGCAAAGGGCCCAGTGTTGGGGATGAACCTGCCAGGCAATGATATATCCATCTGGGAAGAAAAAAAATCAATATATGAGAATGTGGACGAGGTGGAACTAATTGTTCTGTGCCGTTATACCAACAAGGAACATGTTGGGTTTTTTTAAGCAAGACTATAGTCACATTCTGCCTGCACAGATTTCTTGCATTAAAAAAGATTGTTTTAAGATGTTTGTTTAATTTGATTCAAGATACTAGTCCAGTTATCCAAATTTTCCTAGGAAAAGAAACTAATGGAACTGAAGTGTCTTTATGACTAAATCATTTTCCAAAATGCTTGCAACAACTGAGACTTGGTTACATGGGGATTTAGTCTCTAAAATGTACCACCTTATATGCAGAAGACAAGAAGATCTTTGAGACCAGGTCTGTATTTGCAATGCTCTGGTTGGACATAATAGAGTAATCCCAGAAGCACTGTTGAGCTGAATAGATTTAATCCTGCTGTTCCCTCCAGTGAAAAATGGAAGGTGAAATAAAACCACTTTCCCCATCCTTCCTATATGTATCATTTCTCTCAGTAACAGGGAAGTTACTTACAGAAAGTTTGTTTTGATTGCATTGATAGGCAGAAACAAAATGAATCTAGCTCTCATGTATAAGTAGGGCCAAGTGTTGTGGCCCAGTTCTAGTGACAGACAGTTCCTTCCTGGGCACTGGAGCCCAGAGCAAGCCTCTTCTTCTTGGAAGCAGCACTGCAGGCCACAGTTGAAGAATCACCCTTTCTTCTTTGTTTTTACCCTGATTGTGGAGAGGCATTTACTTCGCATTTGACTCAGACCACAAGCAGCTTTATTTTCACTTGTGACAGCTGTTCAGTGAAAGTGAAGGAGTCAGTTCCTCTGTGTCTGCAGACCAGAACAGATACAGTGTCTGCTCCTGTCTCTGCCAGTGCTCTGAAAAGTTCATTTTCACAGCAGACAGTGGAACAGGCATCTCATACAGTCCTTGGCCTGTCTTCTTTGAAGATTAGTTTCTTGCTATTTTTTTTGTGTGTGTGAGGAAGGAAGGAGTGTTTACAGGAATTGAAATCACACATTTTACTAGAGCTGGACCTGATACAGAAAGCAGGGACAGGGGACCTGATTCAGAAAGCAGTTGTTCAGACCTCTTCTTCCAGCCTTCTAACATTCACCTTCACCTCCCCATGCTAGGATCCCATCTCTGTGCTTCTGGACACCCACTCCCTTACTGCATACATATATTGAGATGTCACCTTTCTCTCATATGTATGTCAGCTCTGTTTTCTTACTTTCCCTACTCCCTGCACTCCCTGTATCACCCAGTGTCCCGAACAGAAACCATGATACCAGCAGTGACTGGTGGAAGAACTGGCTTTAAGCACACTGGAGACACTGGAACTGCTGCCCATCAGCTGACTGCACATTGCAGGTGTTCTGGAAGCATCTACCCCACAGCGTGGGTAAGCACTCCGTACCACTCTGCAGTGCTTCAGGTTGGAGAGTCTGGGGAACTCTGAGCAGAGGCCACAGTCTTATAAGCCTGTTTTCTTCCTGGACCAATGTTGGTGTGATACTCCCATCTCTAAGCATGAGAACATCAGAGTTTGGAAGCACAAGGCAATGCATGCTGGAAAAAAAATCACTCTCTCTGAACAGTGTTATTTATTCATTTCCTTTGTCCAGTTCATTAATGTCTAAGTAGTGGTTGAAATAACAGAAAAGATAAGTCCAAGGTTTTTTTAAGGCCATGTTTCAACATAAATCTGTTTTCTTAACATATCCTCTTTCCTTCCTCTGAGACATTTACTATCTTTTTGTGTTTAGAGCAAGAAGAAGGAATGCAGCACATGTTGTCACTGCCCTTGAACTTCTCTGCAAAGCTGGCACAGCTTCCTCCTGTTTGCTTCACTTCTTGTTGAACCTCTGAATCTGCCTAATGCATCAGTTTGCAGGAGGATCCCATATAAAATGGGAACCTTTCCAGTGAGGCATTCCCTTTCACCTTGCAAAAAGTCTTTGCTGTAAATTTGCTCTAGGTTTACTAACTGCTTTGCACCAAAGCCATAAATTTTAATAACTTCACAGAAGAGGATTTGCCCTCTTCAGATAGGGGCTGACACAGTATGGTACAGTGTGCTTTCTCCTGTATAAGAAAATAAAATAAATTGCAGCAATTAGCATGTCCTGCCACAAACCTTACACATTTCTGTTCACTGTGGGATAGGTTTTAGGTCTGAAGGAATGGAGAATTAGGAATTGCTGAGGAGTGATAGCTCCATAGCACAATAGCAGCAGATTCCAGACATTTAACCACTTAAATGCCTGGCTCAGGATTGCAAAAGCAATATGTTACTTCTTCTGTTACATAATAGCAGATACATGATTTGAGGGAAGTTTGGCTGTGAATTTTGTGGCTGTTTTATGCCAACATTAGCTACTTCTGGAACATCTGGGCCCTTTATAGTGAGGAGCACACAAGGAGGGGTGCGTGAATTGCTTCTTGGTGGAGTGGAATGGTGGCTCCCAGCTCTAAACAGGGGTATAGTTACATCAGAAACATCTCCTTAATTCTTGGCATTTATTGTTGATATCAGAGGGTGAGATGGAGAACTCACACTACAGTTGTATAAAAACGTCAGAAAGGTAGGAAATTAATGCAACAATGCACTCTTAAGTGCTATTTGTAATTACCTATCTTAGGGAATAATCTGAGATGTCTGATGAAGTTTCAATGCTGAACTCTTTTCTGTGCCACAGTCCTGATGCAGTTTTTATCATATTTATCTTCAGATTGTTCTGTGAGTGAGAAGAGAGATTCTAGTTATGTGACAGCAGCCCTTGGCAACACATGGAGTCACAGCATCAACACCAGGCTCATACTACAATACCATGACTTGCCAACAAGACAGGTGAGAACTTAACAGCAAAGAGAATTTAAATAAAGCTACACCAGCAGTGCTTGGTCAGATGGGCTGTGTCCTTCATCCTCTCTGGTTATGCTACATGTGTTGACAATTTGGCAGTCGAGAGCCCAATCACTTATTTGGGGTGGGAGTCGGTCAGTGTCCTTTGTTTTTAAGGGATGACCAGCACTCCAGTGCCTCCATGTGTTAGGATGGGCCTTTCTGAGTCACAGCTGATACAGTGTACAAGTTTCTTGAGCCTTTAGTGCATTCTACACTGTGGAGATGAAAGGTAATACTTAAAGTGCTTTCTTGTACAGGAATTTAGGAGAGGAGAAACCTGGTCTTTTCACTGCCATGATTGTTTTTGCTGTCTTGCTGTCCACTCTTTGTGCCAAATTTCAGCTGACTGTTAGGGCACGGAGCACACTGTTTTCTGTGACTGCTGTTTGTGAGTAGAAGGTTGCTGCCTGCACCAGCAGGTTTAACTTTGAGCAGTAAGTATGGTACCAATTTCCCAGAAGTATGCCTGCAAGCAGGAGAATAGTCACCCTTTTCACTAAGAGACTTTATGCTTTTAAGTGACATATAGGAGCATTTTTTACTGCAATCTTAACTTAAAAATTGCACCTCTTAATTTAAAAAACTGAAAACTGGGAGACAAGGCATTTGGGGTATGATTGAGGAGATTACTTGTTTTGATTTTTAAAACATAATGCATGATTTCATCTGTCCCTTGGGATATCTGTGGTTATAATCTTTTTTGGCTTTGTCTGTTCTGTTTTTGCATTGATGTTACTCTTTCCAAAGGCTGTGACCCTCAGTCCTAATGTTATTGATTTCCTGCCAGTTAAAGTAGAGAGCTGTCAGAAAAATTGCTACGTGATATTTGTACTATCTTACTCCTATACCATTACTACCCATGTGTGTTCAGATTGGTGCTCTGGGTTTGCTGTCACAACACAACATTTCTCGCTCTTAAATTGCAGTTGTTAGAGCCAGAGGAGAGGAAGCCATCCAGTTTTATTAGAAAATTATTTATTAGAAGTCAAATTATAATGATAGCACTCCTGTTTCTTCAAGTAGTGGGCACTTCAACTACTTTGGAGCAGTAGTCCCCTGGACTTTGAGGAAGAAAGTTTAGTGTGTCAAATGTAGGTAGAAAAGGCATCTTCTATACTCACTTCTAATGGCTATGCATAGAAATATATTCTTACTAATGCTGGTCTTAGAAATTTTCTTATGTACTCCTTCTTATTCTGGTCTGTAACGAGTTCTCTTTTTCTACAGAAATACTAAGTTCTGAAAAATACAAAGCTGTTCATGAATTTCCTGGATCACTTCGGAGTTACATGAGAGTGGAGTTGGCAGAGGGTAAAGGGCAAAAACTGGGCTTTGTGCTACTTCATGATGCACAAAGTCAGCTAAAACAGATTAAGAACATTCCTCTGGTAGTGGAAAAAGGGAGACAGCTTTCCTAAAGAACATTCAGATATTTCATGTTGTTTTTTCCTGATTCCTTTTTGAGAAGGAATAGATCATAAATGTATGAAAAGTTGTGTTCAAGCCTTTGAAATTTTGGTCTGCTTAGCAGAGTTTTCCTCTCTTCCTAACTGGATTTATGAGGTGAACCACCTTGCTTACAAGTGAAGATATGTGCTCATTCTGTTTTAATTAAGCAAAGGAACTAAAGCTAGAAAAAAAAAAAAAAAAAAAACCCTAAAGTAAATGTATATTATTAAAACCAAAGTAATTTTAAACAGAAGTGTGATATAAATAGTGATGTGCCTGTGAAGTCTATGGCTGAAATGGGATATGTCCATATTGTCCTGTAGGTATTTTCCTGGTGCTGGTATCTGTGTCTTTTTTCCAGATAAATTCTCGTTTCTTAAACTCATAGAAATATTTCAGCTAGACATGCAGTTTCCACTTAGAGGAGGGCATCTGGAGTTACCCTACCTATCACAGCACTGTATTGATCAAATTACTATCATTTTACACACATATGCTCCTTGATAATTGCTTTAGACCCACTTTCAGAAAAGAACTGTGAATAAAGGTGCCTCAGGTCTTGAGATGCCATTTCAGTCATCGTAAAGTGGTTCTGCCAGGAGGTATTAGATATCAATGGTTTGAAAGGCAGCACTTTTTAAGGAAGCTTAACAGGAAGATTCAAAAATTACCAAGTCAGTAATCACATTTATAAATTCTCATACTACATTAAAAAAAAAAAAAAACAACCAAATAATAATAATAATATTAATTTTTTTTAAATAAACAAAAAAACCCAAAAAACTTTTGATTACCTTGTAGTCTTGGTTTTAAAGTGAAATTTTGCCCCAGGGAATTACTGAAAGCACACAGTTGGTTCAGAGATTTGGGTGAAAAGTAGTTTCAAAACCAAGTTTTTCCTGCTCTTCCACATTTGCAACCTTACAGAATCAATACTGTATAAGGAATGAGCTGTTTTTCCATAGAATCATAGAAACTTCGTATAGTTGGTGATCTTTCTAATTTGTGGAGGTCTCTCTGCAGGGCCTCTGAGGGAGCCAGCAGCTCCTCACAATTTAGTGCCATTGGCAAACATACTAAGTGACCCTTTGAATCCTGCATCCCAGTCGTTAATGAAGATGTTGAAGAACGCCGGCCAAGGATGAAGCCCTGCAGAACCCCTCTAGTGACAGGTGCCCACTGTGATGTCACTCCATTCACTACAGCTCTGTGTGCCTGACCTGTGAGCCAGTTGCTCACCCAGCACATGATGTGTTTATCCATCTGTAGCCTGGACAATTTGTCCAAAAGGATACTGAAAGCTTCACAGAAGTCTAAGAGGATTGCATCTTCTGGCTTTCCTAGATCTTTGAGGTGGGCTACCCTGTTGTAGAAGGATATCAGGTTCAACAAGCAGGACTTTCCCCCTATGGTGCCGTGCTGGCTGTGATCAACAACTGCATTGTCTTCTAGGTATTTTTCAGTACTTCCCAGAATAATATTTTCCATGATTTTACCAGGCACTGAATTGAGACTGCCAGGCCTGTAGTTTCTGAGGTCCTCTTTCTTGGCTTTCTTGAAAATCAGGATAATGTTTGCCAGCTTCCTGTCAGGTGGGACCTCTCAGGATTTCCAACACTGCTGAAAATCATTGAGAAAGGCTTTGTTAGTGACATCAGCCAGCTCCTCAGATGAGTCCCATCAGACCCCATAGATTTGTAGGGATTCAACTGAAGCAGCAGATCCCACACAATTTCAGGGTCAGCTGAGAATTGATCATTCTTGCAGTCATGGTCCTCTAGATCAGGGCTAGAGGCCACTGTGGCCCATCATCTGTGTTGAAGACAGAAGCAAGGAATGCATTTAAACATCTCTGCCTTGTCCACGTCCTTGTTTGTGAGGTTGACAATCCTCATCTTGTAATGGAATGATGTTATTTCTATGCTGCCTTTTGCCATTAATGTATTTGAAAAAAACCTTTTTATTGTCCGCCACAGTTCTGGTCTGCTTTATCTCCAATTGATCTTTGACCACATAAATTTTCCCCCTACCATGGCCAATAGCATTTCTGTATTCTTCCCATGTCACCTGACCCGGCTTCCACCAGATGTACACGTCCCTTTTCCTTACACAAGGGATGCAATTTGTTTTTTCAAAAGGTAAAATTCATTCTTTAGTCAGTCACTGGATCTCCAGAACATTCTCTTTCTGGATACACTTTCTCTCTTTCTTTCCCTGGAGGAGCTGGAGTGGTGGTGACAGTCTGAAAGACTTTCCCTCATTACATCTGACTTCCAAGGTAGTAGAGCCAGTGTGCCAATCCTTGCTGCAGAATGCCACCTATCAAGAGAAAAACCACTTCTTGAGAAGCACTGGATCAAGGGTGATATCCTTCAAAACACAGAGTGATACTGTGATTGTTCAGGAGGATTCAAGCAAGCTGTTTTCCAGAGCTGTGGTATCTCCTGGACAGCCCACTGGGTTGCTAGATGTTTGTTCTTAGTCATGCAGTATTTGTTACTGGGAAAACTCACATAGTCCCTGTTCCTGAAACCTTGGGGAATGCCAGGGCAGCAGGTGGCAGAGCAAGTATGTAACAAACCTTAGGAAACTGAGCATAGAATTCCTACATGTTTGGGATTTTTTTATATATTAAGTAAAAAAAAATATTTTGTTTATCCAGTAGATATTTTCCAGCCAACCATCCCTTTTTCCACCCCACCCTTCCTATGTCTGGTGAACATTAATAAGACAGCAGCCAGTTCAGCAAAGTAATGAAATTTCTGGGATGTCCTGCCTGCCTGAAAATCAGTTAGGTTTGCTTTATTGCTAGGAGAGGAACAGCTTTTGAACAAACAGATGAACTTTGCTCTTTTGCTTCCTTCTAGAAGCCAGGGTTCTGGTTTTTGTTTCCTCCGTGACAGAAGCAGCACAAATGGGGGAGGGACCAAAAGAGATTTCCAGTCTGCATTTAAATTCATTATGTCACCAAAACCCACAAGCATGAACAACAGCAGGAGTCTTTTAACTACTGAGGTGGGGCTGAGCTGTACAGTTTCAACAGCAGCACAGTGGCAGAAGAACATGTGAGAACATGGGAAAAGTTAATTGTTTCCCACAAATACCTTCATGAAGGGAATTATCTTTATGGATACTAATACTTCGTTCTCCCTAAGTGCTCTTTTAAGTAGTTAACCATGACATGTATTTTCCTGAAATGCGTACATAAACATGCAGAGTCTTTGAGCTTGGGCCAAAACAAACGGGGCTGCACTAGAAACTATCAGACTCCTCAGTTATCCTATGCATATAATTATCCTTCTTTCCTGAACTGGAGCAGCAGGCTTTAAGGTTACTGTTTCTCATGTGTTCTCAGCTGTCTTTGGTAGGGTTAAATACATTGCCATGCTAGAGTCAACATTTTGTTCTTGTCCATTGGAGGTAGGATTGTTAGATTAAATGAGATTAAATGAGACAGTGCCCAGATCTGGTATGGCAACTTCTATGGGCCTGGT